CCCACTCGGCCCCTCCCGAGCCCGCGCCCGCGTCCGCGCCCGCACCTCAGTGCTCACCTGTGTTCCCGAAGAGCAGGCCCGGGCGGGCGGGCGCGGCGGGGCGAGCGGTGCGGGGCAGCCTTCCTCCCTGCCTCTGGACGCCCAGCATTCCGCTCCCTGCCAGAGGAGCAAGGAAGCAAACGCACTCCCTGCCGGGTGGTGCTACGTCTGTAATGCTGCCAAAAGCATCCAACTTGTGGCTGAGAGCTTTTTTTTAAGGTAATATAAAGCCTGTGGTTCCAAACAATGCAAGCCTTCTCAGGCCAGCGCGGATTTAAAATGACACTCTGCAGAATTGGGGGAAATAATGAACCATTTTCAAATTGACGGAGCCTCTTCAGTCCCCTTCCTTCCACACCTGCCATTCACCGCTTAGGGTTAATATTGATGGGTGATGGAAAATGCGTGGAAAATATACAGACACCATTCGGGTTAAAAGGAAAGGAAAGGGAACCTCTCAAGCTTTATTCTCCACAAGCTCATCCTGCAGCAGACATTTTGAAAAACAGGTTTTTCTAATATTTTATAGGAAATAAGAAAACAGATCAGGTTCTTTTGAGAGTCTGCAAATGTTCCAAAAAGGATTTGAAATAACATTGCAAAGAAGTTTGTCATTAGATTCTCAGTCAAAGCTAATGCTGTTTTCAACAGAAGGGGAGGACCGGAGGCCTGGCCCTGAGTAGCGTGACGGGGATCCGGCCCCTCTAAGCGCGGTCCTGCTTTTCCCCGTGGAATAGCATCTTTATTCGGCCACGGTGTTTGCCTTCTCCAGTGTCTCCACCTGAACAACCATCTATCCTCTGATTTCCTTGCATCCATTCCACCTGGTACTTTGCTCCCAGTTTCATGGTCTCTAAAAACTACCTTGATCAGCCAGTTTTCATACTGAGATAACTTTCGTTGTATCCTACTATCAGTAAGATAAATTTCAGATTCCTTGGGCAGCTAAGGAAGACCTTGAATGGTTAGATTTTATAACATGATTTTCAAACTGTGGCTGAAAGTTACGATTACCCCGAGGTGCCTGTCCTTTCATGTGAACCTGGTCATAATGCTCCATCACTTGAATGTTCCTGCTTCTGTTATTAACAGGAATGTTTCCTCGAGTTTCACCTGCACCCACCGGGAAGCCTTGGTGGGTCTCCCATCTAGAAACGGTCACTCCCTTCCCTGGCCCACTGGGACTCCTGGGGAGGCCTCTGAGCTTTGGTCTTATGTGAGCCTGTCCACCTTCCTGACGGGACTTTAAACCCCGAGGGCTTGGCCTCTACCTCCGCATTTCATGCATCTTGCTCAGTGTAGGATCTGGTCACAAAACAATAATAGTTAAACAGAACCAACATATCAAAAACCATGGTGCTATCCTTTGTCCCAAAGTGGTGGGATACACCTGACTGCTGGCAAAGACGAGGCTGTTCCAGGCAAGGTGAGCTTCCACTGGGGACGGCAGGCGTCTACAGACCGGTGCCTCACCAGGAGATTTCAGAGGAACTGGTTTCAAGTCCACTCCTGGGAGAGATTAAAACTGTGATTAACTTTGGTTTTAAGTCTTGGTTTGGTGATGTGAGCTTAACACAAGTTGCTCCATTCAGGGTCTGTCATCTTTTTTTTAAACAGAGTGTGTGACATTACTTAAATTTTCTATATGGATTTTTCTTTCATTTTGAGGAGCAATGTTTTTTAATTTAGACAGCTCATTTTTAATTCTGTTCCTGTCTTTGTATTTGCGGTCACTCTTTGTGAGAACTGTAGATGTTAAGCAGCATATTCAATCTTTTTCATCTACTTCATCAATAAAAATGATAAGAACAGGCACCAAGAACTTCCTCTTGCATCAACTGCATATGACCCGTGCCTTCACTGGACGTTGCATTGGGTGTGCTCCATACAAATGCCAACCTTTAATCCAGCAACTCATCCACCTAGGAGGCACGTGGGCTGCACAGTCTCCACCAGGGTGACGGAGTCTGCTTTACACTGGGGTTTTAGTCTTTGAGCTGGACTGGGACTTGCAATGAATGAAATAAACCACAAGTGATGGTAAGAAGCAAGGAGAAACCAAGTCTGATGAAGCCCAGGCAGAGCAGACGGAGAAACAATAGACGGCCCAAAGTATAGCTGGAAAGTCACAGGCCAGGCTGTGACTCAGAAGTCAGGCTGGCCTGACTAGAACCCAAGGAGAATAAACACATTTTAAAAAGAATTCCCTGTCTAAATTATGTTCATTGTATCCATTTAAACAATGAGTTAAACAATGCAGACCCTGGGATGTGGCCTCCAGGCTCAGATTTCCTCATAAATTCTGTTTTTGTTTTCTTGTCTAAATGAAGATAGTTTGAATATACTCTTATTTTATAACCTAGTCCTTTTATTTTGACTCACACATCAATATATCTAGTTCCAAATAAAAATCTGATCTAGAGTCCAACCAGCGTGCCTCAGCAGTTGAGCATCGACCTAGGATCCAAGAGATCGTCGTTCGATTCCTGGTCAGGGCACGTGCCTGGGTTGAGGGCTCCATCCCCAGTGTGGGCCCTGCAGGAGGCAGCCGATCAGTGACTTTCTCTCATCACTGATGTTTCTCTCTGTCTCTCCCTCTCCCTCCCTCCCTCTCTCTCTGAAATCAAGAAAAACATTAAAAAATAAATAAATAAAATTCATCTTTATTGTTAAAAGTATTACAGATGTCCCCCTTTTCCCCCATTAACCCCTTCCATCCCCTCCACCCCAGGGCTTCACCACACTATTGTCTGTGTCCATGGGTTATGCATATCTGCATATAAATTCTTTGGTTAACCTCTTCCCACTCCCCCTCCCGCCTTCCCTCTGAGATCCCTCAGTCTGTTCCATGCTTCCATGTCTCTGGATCTATTTTGTTCATTGGTTTGTTTTGTTCATTAGATTCCACATATAAGTGAGATCATGTGGTACTTGTCTTTCTCTGACTGGCTTATTTCACTTAGCATAATACTCTCCAGGTCCCTCATGCTGTCTCAAAGGGTAAGGGATCCTTTTTTACAGCTGCATAGTATTCCATGGTGTAAATGTATCACATCTTATTTATCTACTCATCTACTAATGGGCACTTGAAGTTCCGGTTTGCTGGTTACAAACTCTTCCAGCTTTTGTTTATCTAAAAATGTCCTTAGTTCACTCTCATTTGTAAAGGATATTTATGCTGAATATAGAATCCTTGATGGAAAGGTTTTTTTTCCTTCCTTCCTTCCTTCCTTCCTTCCTTCCTTCCTTCCTTCGTTTTGTCATTATTCCTATAATTTTCCTCCTATATTTAACATGCATTTCCCACCCTCTTCGGTCACTTTAATTTTTCCCCTTTGGTTTTTAGCAACTTAACTATAACGCATTTAGAAGTAGTTTCCTGTGTATTTTATTCTGCTTAAGTTTTGGTGGGACTCTAAGTTCTGCAATTGATGTTTTCCACTAAATTCAGAACATTTTGGTCCATTATTTCTTCTAATACGTTTTCTGCTCCCTTCTCTTCTCTCCCTCTAGCATTCCAATTATACATATGTTGGACCACTTAATATTTTCACACAGGTCACAGAGGCTCA